AATGTCACCTCCTCACAGAGGCCACCCTGGCCACCCCTCTAAGCAGGGATCCCCATTCTTCTCTGGAATCACGCCCTGTTTGTTCCTCTGTAGCACCAATAATTATGGAGAATGACCTTGTTAATGTGTGTTCCCTGAGGCCAGTCCTCTGTTTTGTTCATGCTGGGTTCCTAGTGGCTAAGTCAGCACCCAGCACAGGCAGCGGTGGGCACTGAGACATCCAGGGAGGAGTAAGAGTTCTGTGTGGAAGGAGTGGGTAAGGGGCAGGCCGAGGTGGGATGTGGGGAGAGGGGCCAGAGCACGGATGCTCAGAGTGGTCCTGCCAACCTCCACCCACCCCTGCCCCAGGAAGCCGTGCCCCACCGTGGCCCAGGCCAGATGGGACCTGCTTGGTCACTCAGCTTGCTGTAGCTCAGGTCCAGGGGTTTCAGGCCCATGTGGGTCAGCAGGAGTTCAGCGAGGTACTGGGCCGCCTGCCCCTCAGGCCGTTCCCCGCCAGCTGTACCCTCTGCATGGCTGGGGTCACTGACAGGGCGGCACACACAGCCTAGGTGCCCACCGCTCCTGGCTGGTTCTCCGACAGGTCCACATCTGGGGGCTGGCACCACTCCTCAGTCAGTGGGATCCAAGTCAGGCACCACCCTCCTCCACCTTCCTCCATCCCCCAAAGTCCAGGCCTGAGGCAGAGGAAGGGGCTTTGCAGGCGACTCCGCGACCCATGGGCTGGATACCCCACCCCACCCCATGTGTCCATGAGCTCCTTTGTCAAGGGGTTAAGACCACCTCCTTTGTGGTGCCGTGGAGGATGCTGGGATGGAGCCACAGCCACTCCGTTGATGACTCGTGCCTGGCAGCAATATAACCCTCACCAGAGTCCTCGCTGCCTCATTTCTGGGGAATGGCAATGACAGCCCAAGGGGCCATGCATGGAGCACGTACACGGGCAGATACTTTGCTGAGCATTTAGTGTTCATCACAACCCTGAGGGCTGAGTGGTATTGTTGGGTCCATTTCACAGATTGGAGACTGAGGCTCAGCCAGGTTGAGCTGCTTGCCCAGGGTCACCCTGATCTTCTGTGGCTGAGATGGCATTTGGATCCAGCGCCACGAAACTCCCACCCAGCCCTCCCTCCTCTCACACTGCCAGCCCCATCTCTGTGTGTGGAAGGACCCTCCCACCCTGCATTCGGGCATTGGGAGGCCGCCACATGCAGGGGATACTGGCCTGCAGAGCAGGGGGCTGGAGGGGTGGGGCGGGTCAGGTAGGGAGTAGCATCCAGCATTGGGTGCACCACAGAGGGTCTAACTCCACTCCACCCACCCCACCCTGTGCTGAGGCCCCTTCCCCAGCAACACCAGCAAGTCCCGGGGGACAAGGCGTGGCTGTGTAACAGCCAGAACTGGGCACAATGCCCAGGTGGGCTCTGATAGCAAGAGCCAAGCTGGAAGATCACCTTCCCTTCTCTATGCCCAGCTTTTATTAATGTGTCCCAGAGCAGCTTCCGTTTTGTGGGCAAACGCAGCACACTCCTTCTTAGGCTGAGCATAGGGCCACTTATGATCTCTGGGTATTTTTCTCTACAACTGTGGTCAAGCCAGAGTGCCCCACCCTATTCTTGTCTTTTCAGGGAGAAATGCAAACTCTCCCTGGTATCTCACCTTTTCCTGTCATCTGGGGATGTCTCAGGGATCCACCATCTGTCACAGAGTACACTCCCTCTCCCCCGCAGCTGTGGATTTGCTTCCAATTTTTGTTATTGCCATAAAATACACATAACATAAAATTTACCATCTTAGCCATTTTCCCATGCACAGTTCCCCGTGTGGATTTTGTCTGAACAGTTGAGACCCAGGACACAGCCCTGGAAGCCTACCTCCATGGTGACATCTTTCTTTAATTGAGTCCAAGACTGAATCACTTGCTGGGCTGGAGGGTAACTGTGTGGCCCCTGTCCCCTGAGTCCTGGTTGTTGGTCCCACCACAGTGGCTGGGGTGCCACATGTCCCCTGTTGGCCCGTCCACAATGAGGTGAGGCATGTGCACAGAGGATGTGCTGGCGTTCAGAAGGACACAAGAAGTCCTTCCCTTTCCAAATACTCAGAAGATGTCTGATTAATGTTCGGTTTGTAGACTATCCTGAAATTGTGCTGGGGCACAGGCCTGTGTTTTCTGGAATCCGTGTGATCCTCTTTGGCCCTGTCCAGGCTTCTGGTCCTTCCCTCGAAACTGCCGGGGCTGGGTAATCCACCAGATCCAACAAGCCGGCTTCCTGAGAATAGCGGAGTTCCTGCCAGCTCCTCCCAGGGGCCTGGTCGTCTGGTCCCTCCCAGCACATGCACTGTGTCCTTGTGGTGTCACAGCCTCCAGCGAACACCTGCTGAGCGTCCCCTAGACCAGGCTTGCAAAACTCCACCCTCCCCACCTCTCGGAGCTCCTGCACAGACAGCACAGCCAAGGTGGCTGGTCCTGCAACGGGAGCAGAAGCTGCAGCTGGGAGACGCAGGGAGGCACGTCACATGACCCGGGGCCTCGGGAAGGGTTTCCTGCAGGGTGTGAGGCTGGAGGGGGATCTTGAGGATGTCCAGGCAGAGGGGGCTGTGTGGGCAGAGGCCCTGAGCTGTGTGAGATGAGGCCCCTCCAGGGCTCCCTGCACTGAGTGGGGTTGTCTCTAGATATGGACTGGGCCATGAAGGGGGTCACCCCAGATCACAGGGCCTGTGAGCCCCTCTCAGGAGCTGAAGTGGATCCAGCAGCAGCGGAGCTGCAGACGGGCTCAAGGGAGGGGCATGCAACCGTCTGTGCATTGGGATGGACCACGCGGGCTGCTGGAGGGAGCTGGAGAAGAGGCGGAGCCTGTGCTGGTCACCATGGGGTCTGGTCGGAGGAGATGGTGGCCCAGCCAGGGTGGAGAGGAGGGGCAGACTCAGGACATAGGGACAGTGAGGCAGAGCAAGTGGCCCCACGCTGTCCTCTGCCACTTCTCACAGTCCCACCCCCACAAAGTCTCCTTTGGCTTCTCCGAGTCCCCAGCCCTTCCTGCCACCCTGGTGCTGGGTTCCTCCTGCTGCCCCTGAGCCACGGGCCCTGGACAGCGGCATCCACCCTCCACCTGGCAGAGCCATGTCTGTGCTAGTGCCTGACACTTGAGGGTGCTTCCTCTCCAGGGTCTGGGACTCCCAGAGAGCTTGCCCCCGCCCCCTCCTGGCTGATGCCCAGAACTCTGTGACCCTGTGCGGGCACTAATGTCCCTGTTTACAGCAGAACAAGCCAGGAAGGGACTGGCCTGTGGTCCCTTGGCCAGTGTGTGGGGTCCCACTTCCCTACAGGCCCCTCTGAGAGTCCCACCCTTTTTGTACCACACCCAGCAACTCCACCCTGGCATGAGCTCACCCTCCCAGAGTCCCTTCACCGTCCCTATTCTGTCCTCTAAATTGGACCAGAGGGGCTGGGCCTCGAGGAGTCACTTCTGCTCCCCCGGGGACAGAACTGTCAGGAGGGAAGGAGTCTCGCTCTGCCTTGGGAGACAGTGCTGCACCCCTATCTGGCCGGGAGGCTCCTCGCCCTCCCCCTCTGAGCACCTCCTTTTATCTGCACCCTCCAGCTTTCCCATGTGCCCCAAACGCAGGGAACCTGGGGGCTGAGCAGTGGAGGGGTCGTGTCCCTGGGGACTGCAGGGCTGGGTCATGCAGGGGAGACACCTCCTGGGCCTGGACAGCTCTGCTCTCTCACCACCTCAGCCCGCTCCATCCACTGGGGACCTGCTGGGCTGACAAGGACTGTCCTGAAGGGGAGACGGGGACGCACAGCCAAGGTAACTGTGGGCCCTGTCTTCCAGAGTCTTCACTGGGATGGGGGTTCAGGGGGCCATGCTGGGACTCTGGGTGTCTCCTGGTGGTCATTCTGTGTCTCTTCTTTCTGCCAGCAGCCCCCTGCCCACTCCCTTCCCAGGCCCTGTGGGGATTGGAGGCCTGGACTTTGTCTCCTGTTTTCAAGCCACAAAAATGGGCCAGTGTGTTGTGTTCAATGAGACCTACAAGAAATGTGTCATCCAGGGCTGATGTCCCATGGAGAGTGACACTGAGCCTACATAAGTGTCCTGGACACCCAGGGCAGGGTCCCAAGAGCAGCAGAGCCTGCCCCTTACTACCCCACCTGCAGGAAGCCCTGCTGGTCCAGGCTGAGACCTTCACCCTGTTCATCAAAAACACTGTCACCTTCAGCAAGTTCAACTTCTCCAAGCAAGCACGGTGGGTCCTGGCTGGCCCCAGATCCTCCTTGTCCCCTCCTGGCCTGACCCCCCCAGCCCCACCTCCTCTCAGGACCACTGCCTTGGAGACCTGAGACACCACCTATTTCAAGCACTGCAGCTATGACCCACGCTTCAGTCCCTGCTGTCCTGTGTTCCGCATTGGGGACCTTGTGGCCGCGGATGGAGGGGTCTTTGAGGACCTGGCATTGCTGGTGTGTCCGTGGGGGCAGGGTTGCGGGAGGTCCCGGGGAGAGGGTCCGGGGCCCATGTGCTGGGGGAGCAGTGATGCGCTGTGTGCAGGGCGGTGCTGTGGCATCCACATCCACTGGGACTGTGACCTGGACGCCGGGGGCCCCGACTGCCGGCCCCACGACTCCTTCCAGCTGCAGGAGAGGAGCTCCAACTTCAGGTGCGGCCCCACTGCCCGCCCACTGCTCCTCAGCCCGGTCCTCCCCAACCTGTCCTCCTGTGGTGGCCGGGACAGACCACAGCCTGGCCCATCCCTCTGGACGCTCTGCTGTGTGTGAGGGGGTCCCAGTGCAGGAGGGGTCTCTCAGCTCCAGGTCCCCCAGCACAGGCTCCGTCCAGCCTCCCTCCTGAGCCCTTTGGCCTCCACCCCATCTGTCCCCACACCCTGCTGCAGCTGGGACCCCTCAGCCCAGCCCCTCCTCCACTCCGCCCTGCCTCCAGCACCTCCCTCCACGGCACAGGGGCTTTCTTTTTACTTTTCCCTTAAGGTTTTATCTAAAAAATTACAAGAATCCCCAGAAAACTTCAAAGATTAGTACCATGAAAACTCATATAGCCTTCATCTGTGTTCACCAGGTGTTTTGTTTTTTTTTTTACCATTTTTCCCCATTTCCTTTCTCTCTCCCTCTCTAGAGAGGGGCTGGATATATTTAGATGGATTTCACAGGAAACCGTTGGAAAGTAAGTGGCAGATATCCGGACACTCACCCCTCTCAATGCTGCCCTGAGAATGAGGACCTTCCCCAGGTGACCACTGTCCTCTTGTCTCACTCAGGAAATGTAACATTGGCAGATAAATCTAATATTTACGTTTCTCCAGCTGTGGCAATAATAGTTCAAACTCTTTTTATTTTCTGATCCAGGATGCACTCAAGGCTCTTGCGTTGCATGTATTGTCATGTCTTTGAGGCTCCTAAGCAGACCTGTCCCATCCCTCTGCCCCCTCATGTCACCTTGTCACCCTCATGCAGACGTGCACACAGCCACCAGGCCTAGAGGTGACACCTGTGACACTGCCCGCTGGGCCCTCCTGGCCTGGCTTTGCTGGCGCCCCAGCCCTGTGCAACCATGTGGGGCTGGACCTGCCCACGCCCTGCTCCCCTCCCCTCTGCGCTCTCTTCGCACTTCTCACTGCCTAGAGCTCCTTCCTGAGCCCTGGGAATCCAGCCTGAGGGGCTCCTGGCAGGAAGTCTTCCCTGGCTCCCAGGGGAGAGTGAGTGCCCCTCTCTGGACCCCCGCAGCCCTGGGCCTGCCCCGCCTTCCCCACCCCCACTGCCGGTGTCTGTTTAGTGACCCTTCTGTCCCCATCCCCTCAGCAGGCAGGGAGCTTCTGAGAGGCAGGTGTCCCAGCTTGCTTGCCCTCTGTGACCCTGGGCTACACTTTAGAGGATGGTGGCTGGAGCCCCGACCTCGGTCCTCATTGCAGGCAAAGGTACCAAAGAGGACTGTCAGCCCTGAGCAGACAGGCAGCTTCCAAACTCCCACATCTGGCTACCCAGGTGCCTTAGAGGGGGCCCAGTACCTGCCCCCACTGCTGCTGCTGGGAGCTGGACACTGTCACCAGGGTGGGCCTGGCACCCACTCGCTGGCCCGTTCCTGAGGCCTGTACCCTCCTCTGCTGGTTAGGGGTTGGGGGGTGGGAAGGGTCAGGGCCCCGCCTTGTGGACTCATGGACGAAGCCCTAGAAGGATCAAGGCAGGGGTTGGGGGAGAATTCCACCCTTCAGCTCCCAGACAGACTGTCCCTCCCCCACTCCAGCCTCGGCAGGTGCTGCCTGGGGACCACAGAAGCCAGTTTTGTGTAGAGACTGCAGGGAACAGACGCAGGGCGCTGGCCCAGTGGGGCTCCGGCTGGGGCTGGGGCTGAAGATGCTCTCCCAGGCTCCGTCTCCAGTGTTCCCAGCAGCTCCCCACTCACCAGCTGTCCACCACACTGGCAGTGGTCGCTTCCGGCCCTGCCTGGCTCCCAGCCCTCCTCCCCCTTGCCGGCACCCCCCTCACAGGGAGAGCCCCTGCCCTCTCAGCTGCGCTGCACTGGGGTCTGTGCAGCCAGAGTCCAAGGCCAGGGAGAAGGCAGCCTGACAGGAGGAGTGTGGCAGCTGCTCTGTGCTGGGTTCCAAGGGCAGGGCCCCTCCCAACTCTGGGCCTCATCCATGGAGTGAGGAGTGTAGTGGGCAGATGCTCCAACCCCCTAGGACCCCAGGCAAGGGCACAGGCACCTCTGCTCAGCTGATGAGCACCAGCCCCTTCCTGATGGCAGCCCTCTGGCTGTGGAGGGCTGAGATGGGGGGAAGGGGAGGGGCTGAGTTGGTGGGCATGGGGTCCTTTGGGACCTTCTATATGTCTCCTTGGTGACACCAGCCCAATGCCCTGGAACCTGCTTACCAGGCTCCTGGGAGCCATGGGGTGGGGGCTGTATATTTGGACACATGTCACTGCTGCCCAAGGTCACACTGAGAACGTGTCTGTGCAGCTGCCCACCCCAGCCTGAGGCAACTGCACGAGGACCATGCTCTGACCAAGACCCCACGTAGAGCCCAGGGGCTGGAGAGAATGTCCCTAACAGAGGACATGGAGCCCCAGCAGGCTGGCCTGGTTCTGGCTCTGGAATCCTCCTGGGGGCCTGAGTCCTGCCTGCTGGAGAATTTCCCCATGTCCCTAGCCCACGGTCAGGAGGGGAAGGACGAGGCTGCAGGAGCCAAGCCCTCTCTGGGTCCCAGGGAGGGGCAGAGTTTGGGGTACGCATCCCAGGGAGACAAGGGGCTGCCTCCTCATGAGTCCCTGGTGAGCAGGGCCGTGTTGGCAGCTTGTTGGTGGAGTGACATGGGCCAGGCTGGGGAGGGGAGGCCTGGGGCTCAGGCTGGGCAGTATCTGGAATCATCTGGCACCTGGAGCCTCAGCAAAGCCTTGAGGTCCCTGCTGTCTCTCACCCCCAGGGCAGTGTCCGTGAGAGGCGGGGTTCAGAAGGGCTGGGGTGAGAGGTCACGGTCCTGAGGCCTGGTTATTGGAGGGGGGTCATGTGTCCCTGGTTGTCCTTGGGGCACAAAGAAAGTGATGTCGAACCTGCAGATAGTGGAGGAGTAAAGCTGCCAAAGCCGCAGCTTCCTGTGTGGTCCTCACAGGCAGGAATGGGGAGGAGGAGGTGTCTATGGTAGACAGAGCATGGCCTTGGGGAGGCCACAGGGGGTGCAGCATGGGCCTGGAGACCCTCAAGCATGGGGCCCCACTACTACTACAGGTGGGCTGAAGGTCCCTGGAACAGGCCCAGGTGCTCGTGCACCCACCTGCCGGCGTGTGTCCCATCCTGAGCCTTTTTCACAAAGCCCTGAGGGGGTGGCAGGGAGAGAGGCTGCTGGAAGCTGCGGGCAGCCCTGGGCTGGGAAACAGCTGCTGCCTCAGTCTGCACATGGGTGCATGCCCAGGGGACCATGTGGGCCATGTGGGCCATGTGTGCCTGTGCCTGAGAGATGCGTGTGCCCGGGCAGAGGGGCCTCTCCATCCAGGGCAGGCCTCAGGACATGCCCTGCTCTCTGGGAGCCCTGGGAAACCAAGGAGACCCCGGGACTCCACTGCCCTTTCTAGGCGGCCTCCTTGGGGTCCAGGCTCTGCTCTCTGGATGTGCCCCCGAGAGGACATATAGGGAGCCTGGGAGGGGCCTGGCCCCACCCTGTCAGGGACCCCTCTGTGCCTGGTATGCAGCTCCTCTCTGAGCTGGGCAGAGGGCACTGTCCTGAGGACAGAATCCCAGGACCAAGGCCTGGCCATGTCCGTGACTCAGTGCTGTCCCAGGGCTGGGGCCTCCCTACTCTAGAATCTCAGCAAGTTTGCTGTGGATTTGGGACAACCTTGTGGTTCTCAGGGGCAAGTGAAGAACCAGAACACCACAGTGGACATGGCAACAGGCCACACTGCAAGCCGAGCAGTTACTATTGTGGGTCCCTGGGACTAAGGCTCTTCCCTGCCTGCCCTGATCCACCTGCCCAGGTAGCTGGACTTGGTCATAAATTGGAAGGTCCTGGGCAGAGTCCACCACTCCAGCACTGGCCACAGCCCACTCCCAAAGACCCGAAGCTTGGCACCTGGGCTAAGGTCCTGAGGTCCTGAGGACCACCTGGCATGGGCAGGTCTGCAAACCCGAGCTGCCCCAGATAGACGGGCTGCCAGCCCCTCAGGCCTCCTGAGGAGGTAGGGGAGGGTGGGCAGATGGGCCCTCAGCGGTCCTCATGCACTGGTGGGTTGCTCTGTGTAACTGTACTCCTGGGCTGGTGTCTGGCTAGGGGGCTGCAGGGCCGGCACCATCTCCTCCAGGCTGCCATGTGGGGCAGTCAACACCAGCTGCTCCCGCTGGTTCTCCTTGCTGTGCCAGATGCCGTAGCCAAAATACACTGCGAGTCCTGAAAGGGTGGGACAAGCCTGAGGGGCAGGTCCCAGCCCTGCTTCCCTGCTTGCCCTCCCCCTGCAGCCCCCTGGGGTCCCAGCCAGGCCCCCACTCACCAATCAGCAGCCAGATGGAGAAGCTCAGCCAGGTCACATAGCTCAGCTGCAGCATGAGGAAGATGTTGAGGAGGATGCTCAGGGCGGGAGTCAGGGGCACCATGGGAACCTGAGGGGACAAGGGCAGGGCTGGGCTGCAGGGAGGGGCTGCTGGCCCAGGGCCTGATTTCTCGGGAGTCCACAGAGCCTTTCTCTGCCTCTGGAGATTCCACAGACAAGGGCCCACCCGCCATGCAGAGAGGGGGGTATGGGGTACTGGCCTGCCCAGCCCTGCGGCCCGGGCGCATCCTGCCCCGGCAGAGGAGGAAGGGGCGAAGGGAGCTGGCTGGGCTGAGCACGGTGGGTGCTGGCTGGAGGAAGTACCTGAAAGGTGTCCTGCCGGCGCTGTTGCTGGTGAGCCCCCAGGACGAGGAGACTGAGCAGAAACGTGGCGGAGCTGAGCAGGAGCAGCAGGGTGTAGCCCCAGGTTGGGAGGTTCAGGGCCGAGTCCCCAAAGACCAGCACGCAGTCCAGGGTGATGGCTGAGGCCACCAGGACACCGAGTGCCCAAGTCACAGCGGCTCCAGGCCTGCACCCACCCAGGAAGCAGAGGTAGGGCCTCAGGGCTGGTCGCAGCTGCCCGGGCTGAGGAGCTGAGGCCTGCTCGGTGCCCACAGGGCTGCCTGGGCCCTGAGAGCTGGCTGGAGGGGCCTTTCGGAAGCGTAGAATGATAATGCTCGTAGTCACGACAGTGCGGGTGATCATTGCGCTGAGGCACAGGAACTGGACCAGTGCCTCGTGGTCCAGCAGCAGTGCCAGGAAAGCCATGAGAACCCCGAGCACCATGATGGCCACCATAGGCACTTGGTTCCGGGGGTGCACATGGGCAAACACCTGGAAGAAGAGCCCGTCTCTGGCCATGGCATAGGTGATGCGAGGCAGGAAGAGAATGATGTTGAGTATGGCAGTGTTCATGGCTGTGGCAGAGGGTGGGAGACTGGTCAGCATGGTGCACAGGCCCACCAGGGGCTGCTGCTGGGGTCCAGGACATGGGTGGCCCCTTGGGAACACGGGCATGAGTTTGTCTCGGCTCCGAGAGTGAGCCTGAGTATACAAGGGTGCTGGATTGTTCCCCCTGACCACCCAGGGATGGGACAGCCCAGTTTAGGTGGCAGACCCACTGGAGAATCTGATGAGGGCTGAGTCCCTCTGCCTGGAAGGATCTGGAAGCACATACCCAGAACTGACATTCTGTTTACAACTGGGAGGGGCAGTGAGTAGGTCCCTCCCAACAAGCCCAGGTGGAGAGTCTAATCATTAGCATCTTCCTGGGCCCAGGATGCAACTGGGAGCACAGGCCCAGATGGAGATGTGTTCCCTGGAGGCTTAGGGCAGGGCGCCACTGCCATGTTCCCTTCCCCCTTGCCCAGATCGGCCCCTTACCGCAGATTGCACCCACTGCCACGATGAAGGCTGCCCAGCTATAGCCCCGCTGGTGAAAGGCATCAGCGAGTGCCCAGTAAGGGTGCAGGCTGTGCCAGGGCACCATGAGGGTGAGCACAGTGGAGACGAGGATGTTGGCACCAGCTACCAGACCAACTGAGATGGTGATGGCCATAGGCACTGTTCGCTTTGCATTCTGGGCCTCCTCACTGGAGGCAGCAATGGCACCAAAGCCCACGAAGGCATAGAAGCAGGTAGTGGTGCCAGCCATGATGCCAGAGAAGCCAAAGGGTGCAAAGCCACCCTCTTCAGCGCTCCAGTTGTGTGGGCGGGCCAGGAAAAACCCCAGAATGATGATGAAGATGATGACAGCCAGGCTGATGGCAGAGAAGGTGCGGTTGAGCCAGGAAGAAACACGAGCTTTGCAGGAGACAAATGTGGAGACTGAAAGTATAATGCCAGCAGCCAGGAAGTCTGGGTTCTGGGCCAGGAAAGGCACCTGCCAGATGCCCACATGGTCCTCAATGAAGCTGTGGATACGGTGGCTGAAGATGACATCCACGTAGCTGCTCCAGACCCGGGCCAAAGCAGCACCAGTAATGAGGTGCCCAAGGAGCGTGTTCCAGCCAATGAGAAAGGCCCACAGTTCACCCATGGACACATAAGTGAACAGGTAGGGAGAGCCCGTGTGGGGCACATGCGCTGCCAACTCCACGTAGCATAGGGCTCCCACCAGGGAGGCCATGGCAGCTATGCTGAAGGACACGACCACTGCAGGGCCAGCCATCCCCTTGGCCACAGTGCCCGTGAGCACGTAGAGGCCCAAGCCTACCGTGCCACCCACAGCCCGCAGGGTCAGGTCCAGCGTGGTCAGATGGCGCTGCGGTGACATCTCCCTGGGGGATTCCTCCAGTGGCTTCTGCCGGTTCAGCTTCTGGCAGAAGCGTGTCAGGCTGGCGGCACTCGGCAGTCCCCAGACCATGGTGGGCAACTGAGAGGAGCATTAAGCTGGATGCCAGCACCTACAAGGGTGAGAGGGCCGTGACAGGCTGCCCAGCCGGGTCCTGTCCAGCCTTCAGTCCTTGCTGTCACCCTGTCCTGGGGACCCAAGCCTGGAACCACTGGCAGCTGCAGGGCTGGATGAGGCAGGCTCAGGGTCTGGCAGCAGGGTGGGCAGGAGGCCACAGGGAAGCCTGCCTCCTGGGCAATGACTGTTTGTTTGGGAGGGGCTCTCTTGGTGGGGGGTAGCAGCCCCAGCGAGCCCGGCTAGGAACCCCTCCAGTGGTCTGGGATCCCAGAGCGGAGTGGAAATCCAAGGCTTGCCAAGAACTGGGCCAGGCCTCCAGGACCCAGGATTAGAGTGACTCTGCGGCCCTGGGTGTAGCCTAGGCAGCCGTATGGCCTCAGACAGAAACTTTCATCCCGCCATTGCCCCCGCCCTGCAGGTGTATCAGCGCACCCCTCCTAGAGTGGGGAGCACCCTGGGCCCTGCGCCCAAAGCCAAGGACCTGTGGCCCACACCTGAGCCCTGACAGCCTGCCACCTCACTAGCTGCTGCTAGAGCCAGTTCCCCAATGACCCTGTCCCCAGGTTCCCGAGCTTTTGCCTCTTCTCTGGCCTGAGTCCATCCCTGCAAGACTTGCTGGGACTCATCTGATGGCACTGCCACCACTCTGTGCATGGGGCCCACCCCATCCCAGACGCCCGATCCAGCACTGGGCCCTGCCTTGCGGTCACACACGCACTCAGCCCGCCCTGCCCACACCTCACAAGGTCAAGACCAGCGCTCCCCAGGTTCGGGGGAAGCCCTATGACTGTGCCTGGTTCACAGATGAAGAAGCTCAGGCCTCCAGGTAAGTGACTAGCCCAGGTCACCGGGGTGGCCTCAGGAGGCAGGTGGAGGTTAAGATCCAGGTTTGGGGTGTGGGGGCCTAGAATTGGCCACCCCAAGATATGTCTCTTTGGCATGATGATTATTTGGCACTGGTTCCTTTGCAGACAGAAAAGCAACTGAAAAGTAGAATTTACTTACCCTTTGTAAGAGACATTTACATTGTAAAGGAACTCTCCAACTGTAAAGATATCTCCCTCTCTACCAGGAAGAAGGGGAGATGACCTTATCTCTAGAAACTCTTAATCAATGGGGAAGGCAACTTAAATCTGCATTTGTTTATTGTGCTTGTCTGGTAACCTCCTGTAACTGACTCCCCCCACCCCCAGCATCCTCCTTTGTCTTTTGGCTGGATATGATATTCGGGGTGGTGGTTTCGGCTGTTTTGGTGAGTTGCTCGGCTTGCCTGAGCCTCTCCCATCTATACATTGACAAATAGAAATGACAAGCAATAGGAAATATTGGAGTACATGAGGAAGCCATTTGGTATAAACCTAATTCGGCCTGACTTTGCTATTTTTTCCAAAAGGGCCTGACTGTGGCCATTGAGCACATATTGTATATCTGCTTTAAAACATTTACTATGGCAAGAACAAAGGCCCTTGAGATAAAGGTGCAACTTCCCTCCCCCTCCAACATTGGCATTTCCTTAAGGATTAAGCATCTTTCCTTAGGCTAGGAACTGATTGCTGTGCTCACCTGTGACCACCCAGCTGGAGACAATAGACTTGCCTCCTGCTATGCCCACCAAGATAGCAGACCCACTACCTGCTGTGTCCATCAAGCACTGTGCCCACAGGGCAATCCTGTGACTATTGTGGGAGGGACATTTCAATCATATGTGAAAAATCCTGTTTGGGGGTATATAACCACTCTGTGCACCCCACTTCTTCGGTGCCCTTTCTTCCTTTGGGAAGAAAGGCCCCGGGCTATGGTCCTCACAAAGCTTTGTTTACTTTTCTCTTGCTATTCTGTCTCATGTGAATTTAATTCGTTCTCTGGCCAGATGAACCCAGAGAAGGTAGAGGAAATGTCTTCCTCCCCTACAGGGGTGAGTTCTGGAACCCACCTGCTTTCCACTGCTGCAGACACCCTCCTTGATCCCTCATCCCAACACACGGACTTCACCAGCTAGGCACCACCCAGGCCCCTTGACCCTGGGAGGTGTGGGGGCTGTGGGAGTCAGGCAAGACACTGGTAAGATGAGGGTCTGAATGTGGCTGAGAGGCTCTGGGCAGTCCCTGGCCTCCTGACACAATGGTGTAGGGACCTGAAATTGGCCACCCCAAGATATGTCTCTTTGGCATCAGGATTATTTGAGGCTGATTGCTTTTGATAAACTGGGACAGGGAAGGAGGCTCTGAGGAATGGAACTTGCCCTTTGTTAGGACACATTTACATTTGTAAGGTAAATCTCTGTCTGTAAAGGTGCCTCCCTCTCTGTACCAGGAAGAAGAAAGGAGATGACCTTCTCTCTAGAAACTCTTAATCAATACCAAAGGCAAGGACTTAAAATCTGCATTTTATTGTGCTTCTCTGGTAACCTCCCGTAACTGACTTCCCTCCTCCTCCCAACATTGGCATCTCCTTAAAGATTAAGCATCTTTCTTTAGGCTAGGAACTGATTGCAGCACTCATCTGTGACCACCCCCAGCCCGAGGCAACACACCTGCCACCCCGCGGCATTCACTGAGACAGCAGACCTGCTGTGTCCATCAAGCACTGTGCCAACAGGGCAATCTTGTGACTATTGTGGGAGGGACATTTCAATCACATGTGAAACACCCTGTTTGGGGGTATATAACCACTGTGCGCACCCCACTTCTTCAGTGCCCTTTCTTCCTTCAGGAAGAAAGGCCCCAGGCCATGGTTCCTCAAAAAGCTTTGTGTAATGTTCTCTTGCTATTCTGTCTCATGTGAATTTAATTCGTTCTCTGGCCAGATGAACCCACATTTGGGAAGAGGAAATGTCTTCCTCCCCTACAATAGGATGGCAGTAAGCCACCTCATCCACTGACGAGGGAGCGCCCGGCTGTGGGGAGTGTTCTGTGAATGGGCAGAACTCGTGCTGGCTGTTCTGAGCTTCCAGCTACAGAGAGTGTGCTGAAAGGAGGCAAGCAGACCCCTGTGGAAGACCTCCAGCCCTCCAGCTTGGGGCACCCCTAGGGCCCCTCAGACCCCAATGGCAGCCCCTCCCAGCCCAGGAGCACCTGTCAAGCCTGGAGGACATCTATTGGAATAAACTTTGCTGTGAGTTCATATGCACGTGAGGTCAAAGCTGTTGCTAAGGCATGTCTTAGAAGACAAAAGGCTGCAATATTGGCGGGCACAGGCCGAGCAGGTAAGAGCCTGTCACTGCCTGGAGAAGACTCCCGTGGGGCTGACCCAGTGGCATAGTGGTGAAGTTTAGCACGCTCGGCTTCAGCAGCCTGGGTTCGCAGGTTCAGATCCTGGGTGTGGAGCTACACCACTAATCAAGCAATGCTCTGGCAGTGACCCACATACAAAATAGAGGAAGACTGGCACAGACGTTAGCTCAGGGCCAGTCTTCCTCACCAAAAAACAGAAGACCCCTGTGATAAGATAAGTTGGTCATGGGATGGAGTAGATGACAACGTGTCCCTCAGCAACCTCAAGAAAGTTTCCGTGCAATGAGGTACAGTGTAAAAAAGACACCATCCCCAACCCTGTAGCACATCCCTCCGAGCTGTTCGTTTGGCTCTAGGAGACCCAAGGCATAAGTAAAGCTGTTAGTGTGCTTATAAAAGAACAAACAGAGGAGATTTTTCCCTCCATTTTCTTCTATGTCCTGAGAACTTGGCTTTTTGACCAATGAGAAGATTCCCCTTGGTCTCCACCATCCAGAAGATGCATTTTCCAGAGTGCACCTTGGTGGCCACTCACATAGACTGGGTTCTGAGCACTCTCTGTCCTGCTGTGCCAAGCTCTCGGGGGAGTTTGTCTCTAATGTCATAAAGGCTGTTGCCATCTCAACTTCCTTGCATGTTAGTGCTGGAAAATTCTCATTCCAGTAGTGCCTGCCCAGTGTCACAGATAAGTGAATCTATGACAGGAGGTGTAACACGCTCCCATGGGAGACCCGAGACACTGTCCTTACCACCTGCGCAACTAAGCTCTTTACTCTCTCTGGCTATTTTGGGGAGTGAACTTTTTGGATCATGGAGGCAACATCATCACTGCCCTCCCCAGGGACACCTCCTGCATCCACGGTAAAGAATTATTCTGTCTGTAGGGGCTGGCCCTGTGGCCGAGTGGTTAAGTTCGCGCGCTCTGCTGCAGGCGGCCCAGTGTTTCGTTAGTTCGAATCCTGGGCGCGGACATGGCACTGCTCATCGGACCACGCTGAGGCAGCGTCCCACATGCCACAACTAGAAGAACCCACAACGAAGAATACACAACTGTACCGGGGGGCTTTGGGGAGAAAAAGGAAAAAATAAAATCTTTAAAAAAAAAAAAAAAAGAATTATTCTGTCTGTAAAGTTACCTCCAGGTCTTTCCTTAAAAAGGCTCATTGGATGGAGTCATATTAGAATAACAAACATGATGGCCTTTTGAATTGGAAAAACTTCATATTTGAAAACTATTGGAGAGGCTCTCATCACAAGCAGCTGCCTTACTGTTATTTATGGGAAGATGAAATTGAAAAGAAAACACCCCAAAATATAACAGCTAGCCTTAGGGAATCCCTTAATAAAATGAGAGAACAGAAGCCAGACTTACAACAAAGATTAAAGAGCAAATTTAAGGGAAATTCCCCTTCTCCTCCCTCCTCTGCTCCCCTATACCCCCAGCTCCCTGTCCCTGACCCCCTAGAAGATCTGGTGGGTCTCTGGGCCCCTGGTTTCAACTCCCCCTCTCAAGACTTAGCTCCTCAGCCACTTTCCTCAGATGGTAAAACCCCAACTTCTCCAGACAGCATCCAGCTGCCCATCTTCACTGCCCTCTCTTTAGAAGACTCACAGGGGGCCCTCAGGCCTGACCTCCAGGCTAGGGGCACACAGGTCACTGGTGTAAATGCTGAAGCCAGGAAGTGAATTCAGTGGAAGCAGCCAGGAAAGGCAGGAAGGCTGGTGTGCTGCCCCTTCCAAGTCCTCCTGCTTTCCAGGGCTC